GGGGGGGGCGGGGCGGGCACGAGGGCAGGACCCCTTGTCTCCTCTGCCTCTGGCTCAGGGACGGGCCCCTCAACCGGAGTACATGGAGCCACCATGGATGCCTGCATCACCTTCACAATTCATTCATTTGATTTCATCCCGTTAAAAGGATGTACCTTGTAAAAATGTTACACCGTGCATTTCATCCTGTGCATTCTGAGCTCCTGTTCTGGACATTCATTTACTCAACGTCAATTTACTGAGCGCCTATGAGATGCCAGGTGCTGGAGGAGGGAAAGTGGACCAGGCATGCACTTTCTGTCCCGTGGAAATGTGTGGCTGATTTAGGAAACCAGCCAGTGCAGTGCCGTGTGGCCGGTGCTGTGAAGGGGGCAGGGCCGTTAGAGAGCCCGCTGGGGCAGAGGAGAGGAAAGTTGGTCCAGACCGGGTCGTGGGGCTCCACAGGGGCGCCCCAGGGGTGCTTCCGGTGCTTTTCAAATATTTGTGGTGCCATCCTTAAGACACACACACACACACACGCACACAGGCAGACAAACACTTGAAAGCTTCACAGAACAATACTTATACCCTCAAGACTCTCTGATATGTTCAATTCTATCCTAATTCATTTCTTAAAGTGCTGGTTGCCCACCCAGTAATTTTTGCTCACTGTAATTTTCTTTGCTTGACAAACACTGTTCTATAGAGAGATGCGGTCTGTGTTGAACTTAGGAGGATAAATCGGGGCTGTCCTGCGAAGGATGCAGGAGATGGTGATAGTGGTTGGTTGGGGAGGGTGGTCTGAGCAGAGGGAGGGGGACACGCTGAATGAAACAGTCTCCTTCATCCTGAAACTCAGGCCAGGAGATGTTTGTGGCCGCAATGTCAGGAGTTTGACATGTATTAAAAAAAAGAAAATTCAGTGACGCTTGTTGAAGACGGTAAGGCAGACTTTATTCAGGACCATCATGATGTGTACAGGGACCGCTGGGATAGGACTTTGCAGTGGGGGAAACAGACTGGGCTCAACCCTGCCTGCCACATGGGTGAGTGGGCATTTATGGCCAAGGAGCAGGTGAGAGTCAGTGGATGGAAAATGACTAAGAGGAAGCATCAGGGTTGGGGTGGGGGGCGCTTCTGGCGAAGCCGACCCAACAGGATTCTTGCTGCAGGCAGGCCAGGTGGTCAGAGGTCACCTGGGGGAGTGGGGGGAGGGTAAGGAGCCTGATCAGGTTCTGAATAAACAGACTTAGCAGCATTCTTGGTAAAAGTGGCTCCTACAAGGAAGTAGGGCCTAGAGAAGGTTCTGGAGCCTGACTAAAGATTGCTCGAGCAAAGAACCTTTGTCAGGTGGAAAACTTTAGGAAGTCGGAGTGGATCGACTAGTTCACGCCCTGTACTGAAAACTCTCACCAGAGAGAGGAAGAATGATGGAGTTCTTGGTGCTTATGACTCGGAATCCAGGGACATGGAGAGCCGGAAACCCAGTGAGGCCAGAAGGGGTAAGGTGCGGGGGGGGGAAAGAGACAAGGTTGGGGCCTCCTGAGCGGAGGCCAACGATCCTGATCTGATCACAACGGCACAGCTAGGATGCAGCCCAGAGGTAGGGGCAGACACCGGTGGTTCCTGGAGGCCCCGTGAGAGACCAAGATGGAAACAGGATGGGGATGAGCAGAGCGCTGAATTCTGTTGCTAGGCAACAGAAAGCCAGCTCTGGATCCAAGCATACTACCCAGTGACAGTTTGTTGTTGTTGACTGGCTGGTTTTGATTACTAGCCAGAACTGATAGAACATTAAATTTTGAAACTCCGGTGAGTTTATTAGAGAATCACACCACCACCTTCACTTCAAGCCTAGGAAACAAGGGATGGAAGTGTTCAACCCCGAGGAAATCCTTGGGTCTCACCCCACATCAAGTGGATAGTCACAGGCCTGCTGAGACCTGGCCCGGGGAGGGGCGCCTGCACTGTGGACGGCTCGGGTGGCCACGGAGGCAGGAATGGACAGACCCCATAGAGGAGGCGTGGCTTGTGAGGGTGGGTCCTCACGACTCCTTCCAAGTCTGGGCAGGACATCTTGGCTCGTCTTAGAGATAAGCGTGCCTCATTTTCCCCGCTCTGCTTTTGAAAACAGGAATATTGGTTGTGGTTTTCCCATTCGCTCTTTCTCCTCCATACTGAATGTCATATTTGTCACTCAGTCATGGGCTGCCAGGCTCCCTGGCAGCTCCCAGAGCTCCTGAACTGAGCAGGATGTTTTAACTGGGTGAGATGGGATGTCTCCACTGGGACAACGGGGAGGGACTTTGTTATGAAAAAGCAGGTCCCCTTTTATGAAGAATACACGTGGGTCTAGGTAGCAGGCAGCTAAAGGGCTGGACTGTGGTGGGCCCGGCTGCCCCTCGTCTGGAAACACGGCCGGTTTCCCTTTGAGGGCTGGCACCCTTGTCTCCCGTGTGCGTTTGGAAAGACATCACTTCCAAAGTGAGTGCAGGGGGAGGGTGGGGGAGGGGAGGCAGGACAGCAGTCAGTCTGCAGCAGGTGTACAAGTCCATGTGAGAGGCGGGCTGGCTGCTTCTCTGGGAGAGAGGGGATGAGGGGACACAGGTGCACTCCGGAGCTGTTCGGGAGATGGGATTGACTGGCCATGGGAAATGGGAAGGGGGGGACCAGGATGGTGGTGTCCTGAGTGACTCCAAGATTCTGGCTGGAAAACTGGGAAGAGGGTAGCGGTGTCTCCTTGCAGACGGCAAGTAAGTGAGGTCAGCCGCTTCCTCTGTGAGCTTTCAGGCTGATGCGGAAGCTGCAGCCCAGAAGGAAACATCAAAGGGCAGAAGATACAGAAGCAGGAGTGGGAAGTTTAGGCAGGTGCAGGCTGTAATCTCCAAGGAGATGGAGAGCAACCTGGCGGAACTCTCAGCCCCTGGAACAGTGCTTTCCAGGGACTTGGTAGAGGGAATCTATGTGTCATTTTTATGAACAATTATCCATTTTATCGATTCAGTCTTAATAATGATAAGTGGTGCTTTCTCTGTACTGTGTGCCAGGCTCTATTCCATGTTCTGGGCAGGTAGAGATGGTTGACTCAACCTTCAGGACCATCCCCTGAAGCACTCCGTTCCTGAATTTACAAGTGGGACAGCTGGGGCAGGAAGGAAGGAAGGGGATTGCTGCAGTATTTTTAGCTGGTAAGGGCTAGCAAAGGCCGGACCCAGGCAGTCTGACTCCAGACA